TCATGAAAGAACCAGGAAAACAAAACCGAACAAAATATAGACTATTCAATCTACAGGTTTGATTTTAAATAGCATATGCCAAGGTGAAACCCTTAAAATAGGTGAATGTGTAGCTTAGAAAGAACATTTCTGAAGAAATAAAATTTAAATTCAAGAAAAACCTATAAAGGAACATTTTATCTCACTTGATATGGATATGCACCTATGTATAATTACTGCCTTTAAAGAGAAGTTTTTAAATTTAATTTTAATAGAGCTGTAAGATAAGTTGTATGAACTGTAGAGAGGCAGAGAAAGATGAGAAAGGTCTGACATGTTACCAGTAGTGATATGTTATTTGGGGACATGTAAGATTTATTATAAATATGCTATGCTTCTAATCTATACTAAAACTGCTGATCAAAAGGTGTATTTCTAAATCAAAATCAATTAAGAGCTTGGTTTCAAAAATAAGGCTTCCGGCCCAGCAAAGCACAAAGAAGAAACACTTCAGGGAAGTATGTACAACGATTCACTAATCAAGTTTGCAATGCTCTTTCATGCTCCAAAGATGAAAGAATTCCAAATAAAACTCCACTCATTCCTCTCTTCCAGCCTCCACATGTTTCCTCAGAACCAATGTACATGTTAATATCCAGGACAGGGAGTGAGCACACACTTCCAGTGGCTTTCTTTTGAAAGTCAGAGAGGGGTTAAGTAATTCCCAATTAACATTACCAGACTGATATCTGAGACATTTCCTCAAGAGTAACAACACTGGTAAAACTTCTAGCTGTATCTTATAAGTTATTAAAACATTGAACTTAATTTTTTGCTTATTGCTCCTAAGAGATTATTTTACTCAATATTGATTAAATAATCTTCAGTATTACTAATTTACAGTTTACAAGTCTCTTCTTATCTGCTTTATCTTAAAAACCGATAATTTTTTGTCCACATTCTTACAAAGACTACACAGATAAGGAAGTTGCTGTAAGAGGAAGATATGGAGATAATCAAGATGGAGAAATAATCAAGAAACACGAGCCACTTTGGAACAAAGTATGTTTACTATGAATAATCTGTGCTACCTGATGACCTGGATCCCACCTTGCTTGGTGATTCATTCATCCAACAAATACTTATTGAGATAAGTTCTAAGTGGTGAGTTCATTTACTTTTGTATCCATGGAGCCTAACATAGGTCTGGGCCATATTAGTTAGTTAGAAAATATTTCTGGATAGGCTTCTAGCATGTACTGAAATAAATGTTGTGCCACATTTCTATACTATTTTTCTTATTAATCATCATCATGATAAATTATATTACCTGCCCTATTTGAAAATAATGGACAGATATGCCATGACTAGAGAATAATTCATGGTGAAAGTGAGTTATAATAAATGAGGTAATTATTAAGGAGAGAGAATCATTCATCCAACAAAAATTCTCACCAGAGGCTTTTTGAAAAATAACCAGCTACCATAATCAACTCTTAGTTGAAGATTCAGAAAACAACATCAAAACAAATAATGCAATTTTTCAATAATACAGCTGCAGTGTATTGAGTGCTATGCTTTTTTTTAAATTGTAGTCAAGGTAGATGATCTTCTCAGAGTTACGTAGAAGCTAAATTGCACCTGTGACTTCTCTTACAACTACTGAAAGTTGAGCATCTATACTTAACCCAAGCCATAATATTTTCAATACATAATTCAATAATTTATTTATTCTTTCAGAAAACATTATTAAGCACTCATATTCTAGGCACTATGCTAATTAATTGCTCCCTGCTTCATGTCTTTATCTTCCCCTCATCCCTTCCTAAAACCTTACACATTCCAGTAGCAATATCATATGGCTTTGAGGTTAACAGAGGTGGAATAAAAAATATCTCTCTATAAAATCTAGGCCACCCAGGTCAAGAAACATTTTATTTTGAGTTGTTGTTATTTTAGAGTACAGTTCATCAAAATTTAAATATGATTATATTTCCAAGTAAAATCAAACATGATCATTCTAGAAAAATGGGATGATGTCAAATATTCACAACTTCATTGAAATTATATGCCAATCAGATTTTAAATGTTATCTAACTGAAATGGCATAATACATTTCCACAAGACTGGAGCATCTTTTGAAGAGTACAATCAACTTTCCAGCTTACTGGTTAACTATATTAAGGGTGGAAACATGATTTTTAAATAAGATTAGTACATAGTTTATACTTGGATGAACTTGAAGGTTTATAGAAATTTTCTTGGCATTTGAATGTATAGCCCCAAATTCCAACTTTCATAGATAAAACATATCAGGTAAAATATCAATCAAGTTAATTTCAAGGCAATTATATTCATAAATCAAATTAAACAACAGTAATAATCTGTACCTCCATAAATCTTGTTTTCCTCTTAAATTTCCAATGTTGAAAGAAGCAGAAGGGATGATTTGGGGAAACTCAGGATAGATTCAAAGGTACCTAAGTAATCTGATAAAATAGCCTTTGAATATTCCCAAATCTAAGTTTCTGTATTAAAAGTACTGGTTCTGTCACCTGCAGGCCTCAACTTTCATTCCTGTACACTTCATTTTCCTCTCCTTTCCTTCCTTCCTTCTTCCTTCCCTTTCTCTCTTTGTCCCCTCACTACTCTTTTTCCATCTTTAATATCTAACTCCTCTTTTTCTTTCTGTTCCATGTACCTAACATTATGGAGAAGGGAGGTAAAAAGAAAACCACCGACCTCATGCTAATTTTGTTTGTATGTTGAAAGCACTGAAAGAAGTGACCTGTCTCTATATAAGCAACTTGCTGAGTTATTACTACAGGCTGACCACCACCTGTAGCCCACCAGAGAGAAGGGAGGGAGATGGAAAGCTTTAGATGGCAGATTTGGACTAGGACTGGGTCCTAATAATCTGTACAGGAGGGAGTAGGGCTGACCGATGGTGTTCGGTAAACCCAGAGAAACAATGTGCATTTCTGATTTCCCAGTCAAGTACAAGCTCTCAAATCAAGGGAGAGTTTGAAGACAGCAAATCCAAGAGGGAGGGTGTGTAGAGACAAATACCAAATCCAAAGGGAATAGTCAGGCAAGAGCAAAAGAGAAGATTCAGAAAGGAGGAGGCCCTAAGAAAAGCTGTCAGAAATCCATGTCCAGTAAAGGAGCCGTGGAGCATACTGGCAAAGTCAATCCTTTGTGTATGAAAGAACTCTAAGCCCACATTGGATCAAAATTGGAAAGAAAACCCATTCTTGTAGACTAAAACCTTTTGACCATAAAGCAAACAACAGTGGCTTGAGTAATTCAGTAACATGACCCCTTATGATTTGAGAATGATCATTGTAAAAATTTTTATCAAGCTAAATGTGTAATTGGTAATGGATCGATAAGTAATTTCTTTTCAAAAGGAAAAGCTCTTGTCTTATTTATTTACTTTTTGGAGTAGCAAGTTTCTTAAACCAGAATGGAGCAAATACATTTAGAAAGTTGAGATTATCCTAAATAACAAGATTTTCTACTGCACTAGTTATCTCATGTGATCATTCATAATGCCATAAAAATCCAGATGCTTTCAATTTTGATTGTTAGATATTTGCTGAAAGGCAGCTGAAATTACTTTCCCAGGGTTCCCATTTGACAACTGCATTTTGAATGGAAAATTTACGATGGTTCAATAATGGTCGTGCTGAAGTGTTTTTTTTTTTCCGTTTCCAAGATTAGCAATGAATTCAGTTCTTGTGGTCAGTGTGAACTCCTACTCAGCTTGCTGGATTTTTGAGATGTGCAATGGAAACACTAAGATTAAGAAAGTAAGTGAATAAAACTTTTGAGAATTAAGACCCTGCAAACATATGTGATAATTTATTTTGGTGTGTTGTGTTTTCCTAATAATTTTAGGCTGAGTGACTGAAGGCCAGTTTCCAACAGGAAAGAAAATGTTGACCTAATCAAATGTCATTTGGAAAAGGGAGAATTTATAGAGGTAGACAGAAATCAGAACAAAATAAGCTTACATGATCACATGATGCAGAAGAGAGAAACTACACCTCAAGATAAAAAGGGGGATGGAGATATGTGTGTACTCCTGGCACCCTCCAGAAGACAGAGACTTTAGACCAAGAATACTGATGATAAGAACCCTTTAGAGTTTCTGAATATGTGACACTTTCCTATGGTTATTCTGATGTCAGTAAAATAAGAATAACTTTTAACAATGAGAGACTGTGTGTGCTTCCATGAAAATAATTGCATGAAAATGAGGAGATGAACTGCAACCATATAAATTAGTAACTCTTTGAATGCAGAGATACAGAAAATACCCCCAAGCTATGGTCAGTTATAGCGACTTTAAAAGGTAAAAAAAGCTTTTGATTCATGAACTATCATTTGCCAGATACTATGTGCTGACTAAATTCCCATGGGAGGCTTAGGGCTTAAGAAAAAGGGTGGTCCCAGGACAGAAATAGCAAGGATTTCTTCAATTTGTATTTTCTTCAATTTATGTATCAAAATGAGAATAAGATGACACAGAAACAATTTTTTTGCCATTTTCTTTCATAACCCCAAATGTCCTTGAAGTTTCTTTTTTTTCCCATTGAATGTAACTTTAGACAATTCTTTTCTCTGGTAAGAAAAGAAATAAGGACCTTGGATCCAGATCTTTTCATGTCACCAGTATTACAACCTCCTCCTTCCAGCCAGATGGAATCATATCTACTGGGCAATAACTTAGTAATTTGGCAAGTCTGCCTACAGTCACTAAAGACAAAATAAATCTTTGTGAACAGGGAATTGAGAGGCATTCACACTTAAAAAGAAAAAAATATGTATTTTCTATTGCAAAGAACATTTTTAACAGCAGTGATATGTATGAGGTCTTATTACCACTGGAGTGGATTTGCACTTCCTGTACAAAAGTATGGTTTCTGGGCGAAAGAAACTTCCAAAAGACAGAATTATGTATTACAAAAAGCTAACAGTAAAAAGTAAAAGCTGAATCTTATTTTTAAAGTACTTACTATATGCAGCTCTAGGTAGTCACCCAGGCCAGAAGAACTATCCACTCGCACCAATACAGCTTCTTTCTGAACAGTGCTAAACCCTATGGCCAGTCTGTCTGCTCGTGTACTTGGCCGGTCATTAGGAGGCCACTTATATGTGATTTGTCCACCACCTTTGCTAAAGATATACGTTGTCCCAGCTGGAAAACAAAAAACAAAACCAATTAGTCCAAATACATCAAGTGCACACTTTTCCATGCTTGTTATGTTGCCATATCAGTAAGGTATTACATTTAAATTTAATAAGTATTATGGTCAAAAAAATAAAATAAAATAAAAAACTATGGCAAAGCAAATAAACAAGCAACAGATTTCAATCAAACATGCTCAAGAAAGAAACAGTTTTTTTTTTCCCAAAGACATATCAAGGCAGCTCAGAGTTTAATACACTCATTAAATCTACCAGCAGGTGTTTCAGAGCAAATGGGAGATTACTGCTTTTCCCATTGAGTTGGACAAGCATGGAATGTAATGGGGTTTTATTTTTTCCTGCCAGTTTTTAAGAAATAGCTTAGTAGGAAACATTGATTTTGGACACTTCCGAAAGGAGTAGAAGCACATATCAACTTGTTCTTGAAACAAGAGCTGCATGTAGATGCGACAGGGTCATTCAGAACAGGGAAGCAGATCGCAACAAATACACTACGAATCAACTGCTGTGGGGAAAGGGTCCATTCACATATGGCAGATGATAACTAATGGATGAACATCGTAAGTCCCAGTAGTCATGTCAAGAAAATAGAGATAATAGACCCTCTCCACGGAGGTGAGTTTTTAACAAGCAACATCACAGCTGTCAAACTATCCAGCATCACAAAAAGACCCTTTTTCTTCCCAAAGTGAACACTAGCCTTACAGCACTAAGAATAATGTTATAGCCTCATTTGGTGAGCATTCAGATATTTGTATAAGGGGGTGATGTCAGTAAATTATCCATCTTAAAAAAGTTGTTCCAAACAAGTTTACTAAGCATTCAGTACACAGACATCTTGTCTCACTGTGGCACTGGAATGTGGATGAGTACAATAAAATGAATTATTTCTGTCAGAAATATTTGGAAGAAACATACAAACATATATATAAATGAGAAAAGATCTTTCTCCACACTAAAGGACACCACAGACATACTTATTTAGGTGTCTCAGGAACACAACTTAGAGCACATTATAGAGGGTGGTGTAGCCTTCCAATAACAAAGGATGCCCGATACATATTTTTGTGTACATACCATGGGCTGAACATGGGAATGAATAAGAGTGAACATCAAAATGTATGCCACAAAACATCTTGTTTTTACAGAAAATAGCTTCTACTAAGAATAAGGCTTATGTGTAAAAGTTGTGTGTACAGCAGTATCTTTTCAAGATATCTACACATTAAATTTTTATGCTTACTAAATTTACCAATTAAGGAAGTTGACATAATGTCACACTTGTGTACATTTAATTAAATAGCTGATAATATCTACTTTTTCTCTTTTCATATTTTGGAACCAACTCTCCTTTGTGTTCTGTCTAAAGCATTTCCATAAGCCATTCAGAAACTCCAAAGACCTCTGTAATATGCCTACTGTGCCTAATTGGTTAAAAAGGCTTTGTTATATAGACCTGACCCAAGAAGCATGTCAGGATAATATTGAATATGAAAGTAATGAAATAGAATCTTGTTATAATGCAATAATAAAGAGACTGTGCATTCTCTATTAATTTTTGTGCATACTAATACGTGAAAGTCGTTTCTCTCTCTTACGTGAAAATTGATGTTATATTTCAAAGGTACCACTTAGTGTGCAAGTAAAGAAATCTCAGAATATACTGATTTGTGATTAGAAATCCTGAAGCCTTCCAGGACCATTTCTATTCTACAGTATCAGAAGTTTGTTCAGCAGGATATTAATAGGCAAGCAGTATTTGATAAATATTTTTCTGCTTGGTGATTTTTGCAAGTGATTAAGTATTAAGTGTTTCAGTAAAGCCTACCATGATAAAAATAGAACAAGGACATAAAAAAAGTAAATATTTCTTTAAAAGGAGAAGATGGTAGCAACCAATGAATATTGATATTTAATAAATATTATTTTTCACCTTTTAATTAACTTTGTTCTCTAATAACTATGTATTTCATGTGAATTTAGAAAAAAAATATTAAAACTAGAGATGTGACTTAACAATATAAAACAAAATTCAGACATTTTCCAAAATTCACCAGAATAAGGTAGTGTTGTAAAACAAAAATAGCTTCATTACATAGTGATTTTTGACATTAAAAATCAGTTTCACTTTTTTTTCATTGTCTCTGTATGTATGTATGCAAAGTAGGATAAGCATTACTCTCATGTTATATTTGGGCAAATTTAGTGATAAGAATTGACTTGCTATCTAAAGTTTCAAAGTTGGTTAAGTAGCAGAGCTGGTAGGAAACCTAGTATCCAGACTCCTACTCCTGTATTTTTCTTTTTTTAATTGCAGAGCTTTTTCTGTTTTGTTTATTAGAGAGCTGTTCTTTTATTACAACTGTAACAAGACAGTCAAGAAAATGTTAATTGGATATGTCAGTCTGAATTTACCAAGGCCAACCGTTATCATATCTAATGTCTCATATCCATAAAGTGACATTTGCACCTCATGATCATATACTGTCCTTTCATCTCACAATGTTTTTTTAAAAAAGAAAAATAACATGTAACTGTGAAATGACAGAACATTTAATATATGTAGATTAACATTTAGTTTAGGGTACACTTCTCAAGCTTGTGGAACTATAAAGTTTCTAGTTTCTCAGTTAAAGAACTTGAAGATAATAATTTATTTAAAGGTTTATATTTTCAGTAACAGAAATGTCATGATACCAGTATCATTACTCAAGGTCTGATTTCTTCTCATATTTCAACCTTTTCCCCTAAGTGTTAAGACTTGGCAACAAGCATGCTATCAGGTTCTCTGTCCTCTTTACAAAGACTTTCCAGTTCTTTAGGATTCACTAAAACAAAGCAAAAACAATTGTACTATTGTGTGCCAAACAATGCAATTATTGCTGGTGTCCTCTTTCTCCAGTTATATCTAGAAAGCAATCTTTCTTCTTTTTTCTTCTGTACTCATGGAAGTACATTATCTTGTACTCCTCAGCACAATTCCATAACAGGTGAGAGAATTAGATGCCCACACCCCCACCACAGCTCTCTTCTACATGCCTTCAAAAGCATCTTGCTTTCTTTTTTAAAAAATTTATTTGTATCAAACTCTACAAAATCTCTTATATTCTTAAAGCCCTCCTTCTATCAAATAGAAAATTACAATACACTCTATTTTGGTAACCTTAAAAATATGAGAACACTCCCACAATAAAACATAGTGGGACAGATGACTAAAGTTTCAAAATATACTGCATTTAACATACATCTTTCTGAACCAAGGATATGATGTACCTACTGCGACAGAGTAACAAATTAAGAATATAAACTCTATATAGACCTGGGTTCAAACTCCAGCTGTTTTATTCACTACATAACCTTGACCAGGCTATTCTAAGTCTTGTGTTTCCTATGCGAAAAAAAATGGGGATAATACCCCTATCTACCTCACAGAGCTTTTGTCAAGACTAAATGAGGTATTGCACAATAATACCTTTAGTCCAGTTTCTGGCATATGGTAAGTGCCCAGTTAATTTTAGAATAGATGGTGTGTGTGTGTGTGTGTGTGTGTGTGTGTGTGTGTGTGTGTGTGTGTGGTGTAAAAGTATAAAGTACTAACTTGCAACATTGTTGTTTTATTTTAATATAGAACACTCAGAAAAGTTTAATTTGTTTCAAAGTTGTGTTCAAACCAAATGCCTTCTAAGAAACAACTTTTCTACATCACAGTTTTTGTTAATCTTAGTATTTCATTCCTTGGATTAGGACTTTTTTTCCACATAAACCCATTATATTATTATTTATGCACACTATAGCTGACAAAGGGGAGGGTTTTAAGATGCATTACTTAGGAGCTTTCATGAAAAAAAAGAATATTTAGTCATCACCATAAAACATCTAGCACAGTAAGATTTATAGCATGATGCAAAAAATTCACTTTGACCATTAAATAAAGGAGTAAATCTACACAAAATGAACTGCAATTTAGCTTTCTTTTTAATTTTTATAGAAATGTTTTATAAAATGAGTGAATTCAATGTGCAGCAACAGTTTTTCTTAATCACAGTCCCAAGCATTTTGTCAACATGGAGAGGAATGTGGAGGAATGCATTACTTTTATTACTTATACATGTTTCTATATGGCAAGTGCTCACACAGCAGTACCGGGACTACTAGTGGATTTATTGCAAATTAGCCTCGACAACCTCACATCACTGCATATATGAAAGAGTCACACTTAAAGTGGTTCTCAGCAATCTCCACGTTTAAGCAGTAGGACAAGTCTTTGTTACTCCAAATGTATTAACAAAGCTGGCTTTATCAGATGCAAATTTATTAGTGGCAACTTTACAATAAATGTTTGTAAAAATTATACATGGGCTCTTATTTCTCATGTTTGAACTGCCTGTGCTGTTACAATAAGAAATATTTATAGATTTTTATTTAACATCTATTTACATAAAGGGCACTCTCCACTTCTCTTATTTCCAACCATCTCCTGTCTAAATGTGCCCACTTCTGTCTCACTTGTTTCTGCAAAAGCTAATATATTTCCCCAAAAGGGGTGGGACTTTCTGAGAAAGAAAAACCAATCACAGAGTACAGGCCTGCTCAATTATGTTGCTCTGGATCCTTGCTACATGAACAATAAGATAATTAATTTCTGAATAGATTAAGTTCTAACTCACAACTTAAGTACATAACTGAAAGGTTCTTTTCTGAAAGGCTGTAATTCTTTAAATGTCATAGTGTAGCCAACATGGAACATTCAGGCCACTATGAGTCTATTAAATGTAACAGGAATGTAACACTTCCAGTTAAACTTTGCCGGGTAGTCAGATGGAAATTAAAACGATTTTAAGTAAGGAGAGCTTTTATTCCTCTTACAACTTTGTGAATAGGCTGTTATTAAATTTAAATTTTATGAACAATTTCTACCTCTGTAGAGGCTTTTTTTTAAAGTAAGTTTATAAAAAACAAAAACAATGAGAAGGCCACCACTGCACATGG